TAATTTACTTTGTTATTAAATCTAAATTAAATTATAATAAAAAATTGAGTTAAAGAAATTACATCAAAAAAACGAGAACTATTAAATCGATTTTATTTTTTTTATAATTTTTATGTTATATTCAAATTTATATTTAATTCATAAATAAATACATTATCACCTTCTCAAAATCACATAGAATCGTAATATATATATATAGATAAAAAAATAAACATTAAATAGAGATTTATCTCGCTGCATTGCTCGAATATTCTTCTAGTATATATATAGGGAAATGTTCAAAAGAGAACCCCCATGATTTATGAGAATACATAAAGAGTCTATAAACCAAATATTGTGTTTTAAATCACAAATTAACAGAAGTTTAATACTAAAAAAATTCAAAAACATTAGTATTCAAATCCATTCAATGAAGGCCGGATCTCACAAATACAAGCGTGCAATGACTTGATCAAACTACCTCAATCTTGAACCAAGTTCGTTACATTCAAACGACAATTGAATAAAATAATCATAACAAAATTTTTCATCAAAACACGAAAAGAAAGGAAATAAAAAAATCCTTTAATAAAGATTATTATTAAAGTTATAAAATTATCAAAATGTTATTGTAAATGAGGCAACATCTGAATCGTTAGTTATATTAGGTAGTGTTTGGTATGCAGACTGGATCGGACATGACATGACAGGACGGGACAGTACGAGATTAATTGTCTGTCCCATGTTTGGTACGACTAGGACAGAACATGAAAAAACTGTTAAAATGACCATATTACCCCTAAATGTTGTTTACCACTAGGAAATTTGTGTTATTAAGCCATTTGGTGAAGAAACGATTGCAGAGGAGGCGATAAACAGAAAAAAAGCATAATCGTGCGCAACAAAAAAACGAGAGGGAGAAATCGAGAAATCAAACCGATTGCAGAGGAGGCGATGGAGGCCGGTGGAAGAAGCCGATGTGGAAGAGGCGATGTGAAGAGGCTGTGGTAGAGACGATGACGAAGAGATGATGTGAAGAGGTAGACGATGATGGAAGAGACGATGTGAAGAGGGGTTGTGCTAATTAGGTTTTCCGATTTGAAACAAGGGTTAATATAGTCAAATCATATTTAGTCCCATGTTGTTCCACCTTTTTTGGTGGAACAAAAACCATCAAGTTTTGTCCAATGAAATTTAAAAATAGTCCCATCTCGTCTCATGTATTTTTTGTCTATGACATGCTAAAATGAGACTATTTTTTTTGTCCCGTCCCATGTAGTCTGCATACCAAACGCATCCTTAAGAGACAACATCTGAATCGTTAAGATGTAAATCTTGTTTGACAAAAAAAAATCCGTCTAATAATGGTTCTAAAACCCTCCGAATTATTTTGTATTATCTGTCTTTCTTAACCGTTTAATACCTTAATTTCATTATAAACAATTATATATCATTTTACACTATATCATAAGAGCCTCTTAATCATTTTACACTAAATCTTTCAGCAACTGCCAAACAATCTCAGTCTTTTTTATTTTCTTTTCAAATTCGAGAAGAAATCATGAGTTGGTGTAAACTATCCCCTGGGTCCGGATGACGATCGCCAAATGCACCTGGTTGGTTATGTTCTGGAACCGGACGCCGAGAGAGGAATAAATTCGGGTTTAATGGGGGTGCGGTTGAGATACAATCGTATAAACCTACCCGTCGTTTTAACATTCTAATTTTCTTTCTCAGCTTATCCATCAAAACGCGCGCTCTCTCTCTCTCTCTCTCGAGATTTTCTAGACGCAGAGAGAATTGGCGCTTCATTCATCAAAATCCAACCCTAATTTTGCCTCGTCAAATTTTGTTGGAAATACCTTATCTGGCTGGATTTCTTGTTTTAATTTTTGTAGCGGATGCGTTATTAGAGGTGTGGCGGTGTAGAAGGACTTGTTGGAATCAAATTCATTGATTGATGCCGCCGGAGCCATTGCCATTCGATCGGAAGGATTTCTTTAAGGCGAGGAAGCCGTCGTCTTCGGACCCTGTAGGAACTGTCCCGCCGCAATGGAGAGAGCCGCCAACTACTCCTTCGAATCATAACAATCGTGGATCCTCTTCGTCCTGTCGTCTGGCCGGTGGTGGCCCCTCTGATTTCCGCCAACCCTTTTCCGGTAAGTTTTTGGGTTGTTTTTATTTATTATTGTTTTCCCATTTCGGTCACATTCTTAGGGTCTGGAAATCAAAAATCTGTCTGATTTGACCAAGTTTAATTATTTAGGTTACGAACTATCTTGCGTTTCTCCTGTGTCCCCGTTTGTCCATCTCCCAAGTACGCACACATGGGCTATAGGCATATAGAATTGGGGGCAGATCTGGGAGGGTGGATTTTATTCACTAGAGAGTACGCCCTCGGTACCGCTTTTTTATATAAAAGTTTCAGAGGGAAGATGGCCATTTAACTTGAACCATAAGGCTACTAATTTTATAGATCTATGTTCTTTCTTGTATTTGATGGCATTGGATCTGGAGCTGAAGGGAGCTTGCTTGTCTTCAAGGGATTACTCTGTTGATATCGGGTTATTCTTTACTTTCGCTAATTGATTCATTGATCTCTCTTTTCTTTCTTTTTTTTGTTTGAATATTTGCCACTGAAGGTTATGATAAGGCGGTTAGTGGTGGGTTTCATGTTACAACAGTGGAGTCTGGATCACGTGAATACAAGTATTGCAAGAACGATAACAGTAAAGAGAACAATACTAACAATAGTAGGATGTCAGTGGCCTTGGGCAGTCAGAAACCCCTGAAAGGAGGAAACTCATGGGCGACCACTCTATCACTAAACGGTAACTCTTATCCCCTTACTGACTCTGTAAACTCATGGGAGCAACTTCAGTTGAATGACCAACATGCTAAGAAAAATGGTGGTGAAGTCAGTACTACAGGCAGCCAGGGACTCGACAAGGAGGATTCACTTGATTGGAAGCCTCTTAAATGGATCCGTTCGGGAAGCTTATCTTCAAGAGGTTCTGGTTTCAGCCATTCAAGTAGCTGTAAGATCATTAGGTTGGATTCCCTTGATACCAAGATAGATGCTCAACTGGGTAATAGCACTCCTGTTCAATCCCCTTCGGGGGATGTTGTCCTTTGTCTGACACCAAGGACCCCTGCTGATGAGGTTTCTTCCCGTAAAAAGCCCCGCCTTGGATGGGGTGAGGGGTTGGCCAAGTACGAGAAAAAGAAGGTTGGCCCTTATGATATTGTTGATAAAGAGTCTGGAGCCAGAAATGGAATGGTTGATGGTGTCAGCTGCTCAGAACCTTTGCTTTCTAGTCCTTCTAATCTACTTGATAAAAGCCCCAGCCTTACCGGTTGCTCAGAATCTGCATCTCCTACTACTCCTTACTCATTTGCTTGCAGTTCCTCTCCAGGTAATTATGTTACCCTGATTCGTAATCTTAAATTGCGTTTTTCCGTGTCCTATCGATCTTTTTCATCTCCCAAGTTGCCATTGTTACCCCAAATTCATGATGAGTGATCCTTTATATTTTCATGTCTGGTAGACAGACAGTAGACCTCTTGTGTACCTTTCTCTTAAGGAAAAAAATTGAACAACAAAAATAGAAGGAAAATGAACTTTTTTCAAATGACATGGGTTAAATAGTGAATTGAATGATATTTTGCCATTTTATTATTGCCTACGATTTTGATGACCTATAAACCATCTAATTATTTATATTGCCAATTGTCACTGTCATTGTTTTCATAAGGCCTTAACGATATTCAAGTGCCATGTATGCAAGTGGAACATATGATATGAATTCTAGTCCTATAATATTTTTTGCAATGCTTATAAAAATATTGACATGTTGGACTACCTGATTTTAGTGAGTTGGGGGATATAGGGAGAAAATGAGGTTACCTGTATCATTACTCTATACCTTCCAAAGGTGGAGCCTACCTAATTTAGTCACTTAAAGTTTATTTTTTTCTGCATCCTTTTCTCTTCTTTATCACTATCAGAGTATCATTATTTTCTCTCCATGAATGTCCTTGCTTGAATTGGCACACATGGAGAATACTTCGATTACCGAGAATCATGTTGATTCATATTTTGCCATACAACAAGACTCTACAAAGCACTTGGGCTACCTGAAATGAAGCAAACTAATTTTTAAACGTTATTTTAACATGCATAGTTGCTTCAGTTTGGCTATTTACGAGATGTTCAATCCATCCTTGAACACGTAAAATACAAATTAGAGTCATAGAACTTGATGTTGGAGAAGTCCCAAGATATTTAAAAAATGTTAGAAAGGTAAACAATGTATTTGTGTTATGTATCAAGATAGTTTTGCTATGATAAACTTATATATAGTACGTCGGATATGTAGAGACTTCGAAAGACGACCACTGATGCAGGAGAGGCTAGAAAGTAGTGATGGACATATTAAGGATACAAGGGTTATGTTATTATTTTCTTTTATTTGATTAAGTTATTTATATATTTGTTGATGTTGCAATCTTTTGTTATCATTGCTGCTTGATTAGGTATGTTCTTATCTCTTAGTACAGTTGCATCCTTTCAAAGATTCATTCACAAGTTTTCACTAGCAAATCCAAACTTTTTTATGCAATGGCTTCTCATTTTCTACAGGATTGGGATTCCACATCTACCTAAGTTGTTGAATCTTAACTGCACTGATTAGATGCACTTTTTTTGTTTTTCATTGTTCGTTACTTGCTTGTATTGTTCTTTTTGAATTCTTTTATGTGCTTGTATGCCTTAATCATATTTTTCTTTGTATTGGAGGAAATGTAGGGTTATCATGCTTAGTTCTGGCAATGTTAATCTCAAAGCATTTAGCATGACACTTTTATCTATGACATTATATTCATGTTTTTGAAAATCTATTATATTTATTGTTTGCGATGGAGCTCCTTGAGGGTGTGGTTTTATGAACTCTCTCGGATTGTGATGGCTCCATCTACGTAGAAGTTATTAGCCTTTCTATTACTTCTGAATGCTATCTTCTGTAAGGGCATCATTTAATGCGGAATAGGAAGAAAGTGTTGGATCGTATTTCTTACATTCTCATCGATTTTATATACTTTACTTGAAAAAAAAAGAACAGAGAGGATTTAAGAAGCTGCAACCCAGAAAAATAAGAGAAGACAGAGGAAATATGAAGAAAACAGAGAAGAGAAAGTCGAATGTTTGATTGATTGATCACCAACAACAATAGAATAGAATATAAATTTTCTGAATGACTAGCATCTTGTACTCCACTTGTTTTTTTTCCTTTTCCACAACTAACTCTGCCACCCTCTCTTTTCGATCTAACAGTATTATGGTGCATTTTCTTTGCTACCCTTGTAAGTCATAAAAATAGGAGTTTTAGAAATAATAGGTGAGTTCATCACGCATCACTTTGTTTGTGACTGCACTGGCTGGTTAATATGTTGTTAAGTTGTTAAATGTTGTCAATTAAACCAATATCATCAGAGTTTTGCTTTCAAACTAGTTGGGCTCATTATGGCTATTGATGGAAGAAAAGTTATCTGAAAGGAAGCTACATATGTAAGAGACACATTCTGCAGCTACCAGTCTTTTGTTTCTTTAACTGTTTTTATGGGACACTATTCTTGACATGTTTAGACATGTCATGTTCTAGTTCTCATGTCAGAAGTAGATTGCATTTTGAAGTAGTTTTAAAACAATTTATTTGTTATTTACTGTCCATCTAAATTTGCAAGTGCTATGGCATGACAGGTCTAGAAGAGAAGGATGGATCTATTAAGGCAGCTACAGTGGATAATGGTACTTGTAATCCTAATGTTGCTTCTTTACATCTGTCTCAAAACCACACAGAGGGATTAGCTTTTAACTTGGAGAATTTGGAAATTACTGAAGGCTTTAACTTGAGCTCCTCACTTGAAGAACTGCTGCAGTCTGATGAATCAGGTGCTCCAGGGAATGGCTTTGTAGAATCTACTGCAATGGACAAGTTACAGGTATGGAAAGCAGACATTTCAAGGACACTTGAAATCACAGAAACTGAAATTGATTCACTTGAGCATGAATTGAAGTTGTTGATTTCTGATGGAGGTTCGTGTCCTTTTCCGGCTGCTTCCAGTTCTTCACCAACAGAGCGCAACAATAAGAACCCTGGAAAAAGATTTGTACATTTGCCCCTGAAAATCATTTCTTCAGTAGATATGCTTATGGAGAAGGCTGATGGTTTTCTAGAAGAACGTACTGGAGCTGAAGATTTGGACAGAAAAAGTCCAGGCACTGCAACTTCTAAACTTGTGAAACCTCTTGCTTTATGCAACAATGTTAAGCACCCTGATGCAGTGGAACGAAAGGATTCTCCTTCTAATTTGGATATAAGATCTGAGCAAGCTAAATTTCCCCCACATCATGCCAATGATGACATGGTAGGTGTTGTAAATTCTTGCAGAGATGGCAGTCAGGTTCCGACAGGCAGTGGTCATACAATTCCCATTGGTGGTGATGTATATTATGGTAGTGAAAATAAGTTATGTGACATGATATTGGCTTCAAACAGAGATTTAGCTAATAGAGCATCTGATGCATTTAGTAAGATGTTGCCGACCACACATTTGCGTACCAATATTTCAAGTGCTACCGATGTGTCATTAATTAAGAAGAAAATGGTTATGAGAAAGCGTTTTATAAAATTTAAGGAAAGGGTTATCACTTTAAAGTTTCGGGCACTTCAGTACCCCTGGAAGGAAGATCTTCGTTTGCTTTCTATAAAAAGATTTAGTGCGAAGTCACAAAAGAAGTTTGAATTGAGCTCACGAATGGGATATGCTGATCATCAGAAGCACGACTCCTCCAGTCATTCTCGTTTATCTTCTGGTAAGAAGTTGAACCATGTAGAAATTCTACTTGAAGTCTTTCTGTTTGAATTGCATATGGTCTGTGTTGGACTTTTATTGTGTCGGCAGCCTTTCTTGTAGCTTGTCATCTTGCTCTACCTGAATTTTGTTTGTGTGATTTCTTTTTATTTGGGCAAATGAGATGTCTAACAAGTGGCTTCCATTTTGATTTAGATTGAAAGAGTTGTCAGTACCCTTCATGCACAATAGAGTGGCATGCCCATGATTTTGTACTGATTAAAAGAGCACAGCATGATAATTTTCATGACAGGTCATTGTTTTTTTGGCCTGTATGATAGAACTAATCATCAAGCTTAAGTTTTTAGTTAGGTTAATTAGTTAATTAAACTATGTATGTTTCTCGGTCCAAGTTATTGATTAATTACTTAGTGGAGTGTAGGCTATTTCTTTTTTCATATTTGCTCATTTGCTTGGTGAGTCTCAGAGTTTGTGCATTGCCATATTTGCTCCCTTGTGCGGGCTATTTACTTGATGCGGTTTCTGCCTTCTCTATCTCCACACGCTCTCATCTCTAGCTTGCTCGCTTGTTAAGTTAATTTTTGTCTTGCAAAATGGGGTCTTCATGGAAACAGCCTCTCCTTGGGTAGAGGGCTTGCATACATCCTACTTTTCCTACCCTTTTTCTTATAGAGGCAATGTCTGTTTGTTTTGGTTTAGTGATCATCACCCATTGTTGTTAAAAAGCCCGCCTTAGGCTCTGAGGCTCATAAGGCTCAAGGTCTTGGGCTTTTTTTAAAGTCGAGGCTAGGTGTATTTACCAGGCTCACTAAGGCCCTGCGCCTTGGCTGTGGCGCCTTGTGGGCCTAGGCACGCCTCATAAAGAGTTATTAAATACCTAGTCAAACCCTGATACTAAACAAGTTATTTTCATCTCTCATAGAAGAAGATTTATAAATAGATGACATAAGTCAAACCAAATATACCCAGACCTTAAAACTTCTCCCTCACAACTCCAGCCTTAAAACCTTATCTGTTTTGCATCTATCGAAGTATTGTTGGTTGCTGCATTTGAGGCTTCTACTTGCTGCTTATTTGAGTTGTGTAACTGTGTGTGTCTATATGTATATATATATACACACACACACACATTTTGATAATATCCGCCTCGCGTTCCTGAGGTCAGCGCCTTGCGTCTAGGCCCTGAGACCTTTGCGCCTAAGTGCGCCTTGAGCCTTTAACAACTTTGTAATCACCTTATAATTGCTTGTTATGCCTGATTCGTATTGAGTGGATCTTTGTGTTATATGCCTTTGGATCATGTTATGTATTCAATGTTTTATGTTATCATACATGAGACAATGTGTTGGGACTGGATTGGTTATTCAGCCAGTGTAAAATTTGATGCCGTTTGCTGGTTGGTTGATTTTACTTTATAGGACTTTCATATGCCTCTAATTTGTCTGAGATTCTGCTTGTATTTTCTCTATAGCTGGAAGTTTGAGCCTGGTTCCAACCACGGAGATAGTTGATTATGTGAAGAAGCTGCTTTCAGATTCACAGATCAAGATTTACAAGAATACGCTGAAGATGCCATCTTTTATGTTAGACAAGAGGGAATACATTGCCTCAAGGTTCATTTCGGATAACGGATTACTGGAGAACCCTATTGATGTTGAAAAGGAAAGATCCATTGTCAATCCCTGGACAATAGAAGAGAAGGAAATCTTCTTGGATAAGTATTCTTTGTTTGGAAAAAACTTCAGAAAAATTGCATCTTTTTTGGAACACAAAACAATTGCTGATTGTGTTGAGTTCTATTACAAGTATCATAAGTCTGATTTTTTTCAGAAAACAAAGAAGAATAAAAAATTTGCAAATGGGAAGTCTTATACTGCTAATATCTATTTGGTCACATCTGGGAAAAGATTGAATCGAGATACAAATGCTACTTCCCTTGACATGCTTGGTGCTGCTTCAGCAACGGTTGCCAATATGGATGATGGGATGCAAAAGCAACATAAATACACAGCTAATTGTTATGTTGGCTCGTCTAGTGATAAAAAACTTCCTGGTGGCGATGTTGGCATCTTAGAGAGGTCAAATAATTTTGCTATGTCTTGTAATGAGCAGGAAACAGCTGCAGCTGATGTTTTAGCTGGGATTTGTGGGTCTATGTCATCAGATGCGTTAAGTTCTTGTATTACAAGTTCGGTTGAACCTGGAAGGAGATGCCAGAAATTGGGTGGTTCTTCACTGCATTTGACACCTGAGGGCACACTAGATGATGTTGATGAGGATACTTGTTCAGATAACAGTTGTGGGGAAGATATGGATCCTTGTGATTGGATGGATGAAGAGAAGTCAAGTTTCATGCAGGCAGTGCGATCTTATGGTAAGGATTTTTCAATGATTTCAAGATACATGCGAACAAGATCTACAGATGAGTGCAGAGTGTTTTTTAGCAAGGCTCGTAAATGTCTTGGATTGGATGTGATCCATCTTGAGGCTGGCAGTGAAGGTACAACCGGTGCCAACCAAGGGGGTGGGAGTGATCATGAAGATGCTTGCGGGTCGGTTGTTTCCCATGATAAATCTTCTTCGGAGTGTAATAAGATTGACCTGCACTCGTCTGATATCAGGGAAGAGCATGCCGAATCTGATAGGAATGGCTGTAGGGAGCCTGAGCTTATGTTGGAGAATTTGGTATCCCATGCAGAAAAAAAGCCTCAAGTAGAGTTGATTGGAGAAAGTGGGTGTTCAAACCGTAATTTGGAGGGAGCTGCTGACAGTGAAGCTACTGAAACCACCAACGCCCACCAAAATATGTATTCTGAAGGGTCTGTTGAAGAAATGAATGACTACTCTTCTGCAACAGGTGTTGCCAAGGTGTCTGCTAAGATTTGTAGACAAGGAATTAGGGAATCTGAGCATCCGTTGCCTAGTTTCAATGGCAATACTAGTAGCTCAGTGAGAAGATTAAGTTCATGTCCAGCTGAAGATCTCAATTTTGCTTCCCATTACTCTAGAGGTACTTGTCTGGATTTAAGCATTGATCGTGGAAACAATATGGAGTTAAATGCCTCTTCAGAAAATGGGTTTCTGATGCTGAATTTCTTTCCCAAAGATCCTGGATTCGGGAAGACTCTTAGCCAGGATGATGTATCATCCAGAAGACTCTCTTTCAGGAAGAGTGGTGATCAAAGATGTTCAAGTATGGATGGTTATCATTTGCATCTTTCGAAACGTTCCTTGCTTGATTGTGAGGAATCTTCCCATATTCTTCCTGTTAGCATCCCTTCTGCTAAGGAAGGGAAGAATGGGAGTTTAAGTTGGCATGAACCACAAAGCAACTTTAAGTTGGAAGAAATGGATTGCTCTGTGTCCCAAGAACCGAGACAGAGTTGTTCCCTGGAAAGGCCACGTAGGAGTGGTGATGTGAAACTTTTTGGTCAGATTTTAACTAATCTTTCTGGGTCGAATGCAAATGGTAGCGCAAGAGAGAGTAGTAGCATTGGAAAACCAAATGGTGGAAGGCTATTCAACCTGGAGTTTGATAATGATAAAAAGAATGTTCCTCCATCAAGGAGTTATGGATTTTGGGATGGGAACAGAATACAGACTTTGCCTGACTCAGCCATGTTGCTGGCAAAATATCCTGCTGCTTTTAGCAATACCTCTTCCTCCAAGTTCGATTCTTGTTCTTTAAATCAAACATCAGACTAGAAAAGTAAATTACCTTACCATCATGAGGAAGGTAAAGTTTGAGATTGGGATGGAAGGAAGGAAAGAAAGAAGAGCAACAAGAGAGTGCATTATGCAAAAACAACACAAAATGGTGGTGAAGCTTGGTGAGTGTGTTTTATGTATTATATATGTTCTGTTTGTTGTAGTAGGGAGGATAGGATAGGGTAGGGTAGGGTAGGATGATAGTATGGGATCTTTTTTGGAGGATGCTACTTAATATATATATATGTTGTTGTATTTATCAAATGCACAAAATAATTAATTTTGTCTGTTTAACTCTAATCACAAGAAAGGATTCAGTGGCTTATGGTAACAAAGGGATATAAAGGATGTTGTTTAGATCACAAGAACCTTCCATCAAGTAATGGACAAGATTTGAAACTGCTTTTCAGACACTGCATATTTCACAATCTTCATTCAATCACGGTTTTATTCAGACTATACCTAAATTAAGCCGAGTTCTAATTACACTATACAAAATAAAGTTTTGGATAAATTAGTTGAAAATGTTCTAAATTGGTTACGTTTGTATTATGTGGTCCAGGGCATTGCTACTTGCTAGAAGATATCCCTTTTTGGGTCAAATCGTGGTCAGTGATAAATATAAAAATAGAATATACTTAAACTTTAGCAGCAGAAGAGATGGTATTTTAGAGTCTGCATATCCAGCAGGATGATCTTGGGGAAACAAAGTAGACGACATCAGAAAACCATTACCTTTCTGGAACATCCAACTCCCAACCACTACCAATATAAACAGAACAATACCAGAATGGTGGAGGCCGGAGGGCTTTCATCGAGCTACGATTATATTAGCAAATCGGAAACATGTGATCAACACTTGGAATCTGCTATTTCCAGACTTGAAACTATAAGCAAAAATGCTTCAACTCAAATCGGTTTTTCTGACCACACAAGTTTGTTTGACTACATTATATTCAGTACACAAGTTTGTTCGACTACATTATATTCAGTACATGTAGCAACAAGAAATCGGAATGAGAAAATGAAACCTAGAATCTGATTTTACTTCAATCAGCAGCATTGTTTTGCCCAATTGGATTCTGCTTCCTCTCTGCTTGAAGTGATCTGCATAACGATTCAAGCTTTTCTTTTTGATTCTTGGTTTTTTCTAGTTGCTTCTTCATGCGTTCCCGCTGCTCATACCAAGTAAAACCATAAATTTCAAAACCACTGTATATAAACCAAACTATAGAAAGTGATCATCAACTTTTATCATCTTTTCACTTGTATCTAATAAAATCAATCATGTACTTGGATCCTCAAGATCATATTAGTTACATTCTCTCCATTCAATTGAGGTGGGGATCTGGCAAATACAAGTGTCCAATAATTAATTGAATGACTTTGTTAAACTACCTCAATCTCGTAAATTCAAACGATAAATGAATATGAGAATACATAATTGATGTGATTTTGAGAATCAGTCTTTTTATTAAAGCGTGCAAGTGAAAGAAACCATGCAGGTCCAATGGCTTATTTATTTTCTGTTGGAAGATATACCTAAAAGACTGACTATAAATAAGGTAAAATCAAGACTCACCTCTTCCACGAGTTGTATGAGAGTGATGTCTGACTTCTCGGTCTTGCCCTTTAGAAAGGTATTTTCCTTTTTGAGTTCCTTTATTGATTTTGCCATCTAAGTTTACACAGTAACAATATCCTTCAGAAACATAAAGCTAAGCAGTATGCAATTGCAGTGAAAAAGAAGGATGTGCATACCTTCTCAATTTCTTGCTTGAATGTTTCAAAAACCTCATTGCTCTTCACTAATGCATCCTGCAACAGTTTAACTTGTCTGAGACGCATACTATGTATACTTCACTTACAATATGTACATGACTTAGGCCCGAATTCCTCAATATTTCATAAATCAATGCAACTTCTTACATGTGTCTAAACATGTAATGAGTGAAAGCTTTTACAATGCAATTCTATCAAGGCAGTAAGAATGATGGCAGACCAAGGTTAACCTGAAATTGCTGGAATTTTTCACCATCAGCAGTTAACTGTAACCGCAAATTCTTTTCAGTTGCCAACAATTGTGACACCTGGTCTGCATATGTCTTCATCTGGGACTGTTCCTTCACCAATTTTTCTTCATGTTGCTGAATCTTCAAATCTGCAATTTGGAGTTCTATAGTTTTCTGCTTCAACTGCATCAAAAAATTCATGTTGTCAAATAAATGCATAATTTCTAACAAAGAAAAACTTGGTTTATTTACATCATCAGTCCAAGTGTATATAATGAGTTACCTGTTGAGTATATTGTTGCTCAATAAGGGCATTTTGATCCTCCTTTTGCCTCAATTGGTTTCTTAACCTGAAAAAGATCTTGTAGGTTAATAGAACAATATCATAAAAAAGAAGAAAGCACTGAACACAGATTCTGTATTTGGTTTCTTAGCACACCTCGCCCATATATATAAAGTCAACGGTCAAGTTTAATGCCAAGATGTACTAACCACCATTAATCTAATGTCCAGGCCCCTAGAAACAAATTTTCTTTTTTTAATCCCATTAATATTCAGATATTAATAAGAGGGTGAGTCCAGAAGGATCATACAGTTTTACATTCCCCATTTGACTTCAGTCACATGACTTAAGGCAATACTCATTAATTATAGGAGTCCAAGAATTTAGTATGAAATATCATATATTCACATTTCATTCTCCTTCAGTTGGGTCAGGCTGTCATCCCTTTGCTCCTCCAGCTTACTCGTAACATCCTATAACAAAGCAAGAAAATACTAGTCAGATGCAACATGCATATACCCCTGCAATAAGATGACTCCACCATGAAGATACTTGGAAAGAGGAAGATTTGCAGAAAAATTATCAGCTTTCCAAGAAATCAAGTAGTATCTGTTAAAAAGTAGAGAACTTTATAGCGCTTGCAAGCATGAACATATGAAAAGTATGCATACTCCATCCATTTTGGAGATTGTCACTGAAAAATCAAACAAGTCAATCGGGAAGTTAAAATTGTTGTGGGTTCTAAACAAGCTGAAAAAAAGTCGGCTGTACATCAATAGAAACATCCATGCTAAATTATATATTTCATAAGCAGTAGGCCCGACATCAAAAAATCAAGATATAGCTTGTTTTCGGAAAAGAAGATGTGTATGTGTCATTGTGTATGAATTGACTAATGTTTGACCTCCAAACACACGCACCTAAGCCCCTCTAGGTGGGCCTACAGGGGTCTCGTATGTGGAGAGAAGGCTTCCACAAGAAACATACATATGTTTACAAGAATAACGGACCTTTATTGCTTCCTGAAACTTGTTCGATAGATCTAGCCTTAGGTTTTGACTTTCTGTTGATACTCTTTTGCACTCGTCCTGCCACACAACAGAAGACTTGTAAATATTGCATCAAGGACATGCTCGAAGAGAATAAATCTCAATGGATTTTTTGGTCCAATCATAACTGGAATCACATAAAATGAGAGAAAAGAAGTGATCAGATGCACAATAACTCAGGGGAATTCACTCGGCAACATAAAAAGTACATCAAATAGAACCAAATATAAAAATGCAATAGTCTCAAATGTGTAGCATGAGCATTAAATTGTTCATGAAAACCGTTATTCCTATATACCCAAATAAACAAGGATGAGTTAATAATAATACTATGAAACTAAAAGTTGCTAGCAAATAATTTGTCAGTCAAGTGCAACTATGAAATAGATAAAGAAAATGATTACTAAAAACTGTTCACTTTGGAGAACCACAACACGATAACTAGGCGAGGGAGGAAGGAGAATCAGACAAAGGTGATGGTTTTGCTGGTATAAATTTTGTAATGTTCACATAGATCAACACTGGAATAACCATCATGTTAAAGCTACTAAATTTGAGAAGACATGAGATGGTGCATAAGAATAACTGAAGCATACCATTAACATCTTGTTTTGACGTTGTAGCTCCCTACACAATGACTCGAGTTTATCTCGCATAGAAATAGCTGAAAAAGGAGAATCATCAAATTAATGAAATACAAAAGGAAAAAGAAATGTACTTTGTTGTCAATATAAACGTCCAAATGCAGTCGATTTGCATTCATGAAATGATGGAGAAACAATTCAGTGCTAAATGAAATACATACACAAGAATAATAACCGTTTAATCTATAGTCTTCTAGGAGGAATTATTCAAGAAAATACTCGTTGGCTTCATTAAAAAAATACTAATATGTACAGGAGAACTGCAGGAGGGATCAATGCTTGCTCTAGGCAAACACTAGGCATGACACCGCTTGCAATCATCAACTGATATAAAGTACCCCAACCCCGAACCCTATTCTCGCAGAGAACAACTAAGGAATGGCAGTCATAATGTTGTAAAGTATCATCTTTATGGTAACAAATTATTTTAGAAAGCACTATAAATAGATTATTTTCTGATGGTCATATATGCATATGTTTCTAGCCGGGTCCTTATAGGCCTATTCCATGCGTGCATGGCATATACCATCAGTTGAAAAGAGATACATGTAAGACTGTATAAACTCAAAAATGAACCAAGAAAGTATATCTAGCATCAATAGATCTATCCAGTCACATGTTATCAATTAAAATAACATACCCGCATCTCTTTCGGAAAGAACTTTCTGATAACTTAGAGTGAACTCCAGAAATTCTTTTTCCGTCTTGAATGTACGCTTGGCACTCTTACGTTTTACTTCAGATGTATCCTGAAACAGAAAAGGAGTTATAGATTCAAATATTTAGAGCTCCTAATACTCCAACCTACAATCACCAGAAAAACAGCATATGGAAAGATGAAACTTCTTCAGATCACGGAAAATTTATAGACTTGGCTTATTTTTTATGGTGTTTGTTTTAGTCACAGTTGTACACACAAACCAAAAAAGGAGAGATGGAGGAGGCTCACAACAACCGTGGCTATAAATGTTAATCATAATTCCCACAAGAAGAATTATTTAGGCTGATAATGAAATAAAGAGCTAGACAACTGAACATGAATCTATATATTGAAAATTATGATGTTAGCAGGACTTATACTGAAGTTGAATGCCAGCTTTCAGGATCAAAGTAACAGAGTCCATGTCAAGGCAGTGACACTGGATATACCACAATGCTTTATGTAAAACACATAGGCAGTTATTCAACTGCACAGTCGGAAATAAAAACAAACCCCAAGGGCCAATTGTGAGTTCCCAAGATCAGAATGCTTCCAAAATCCTTGGGCCAACAAAAACATTAATCAATTTTTCCAAGCAAAAGAAGTCTCTAATGACAGCCTACCTATTAATTCAGTAAAAGAGAGGCAATCTACATAATTAGAAGTATAAAGTTATTACTAAATACTTTTCTGCTTGTTCCAGAGCTCTCTGATGGTAGCTTTCCTTGTACGCCGGCTGCTTGCGATTCCACTCCTTGCTCGGTTGCTGGAATATAAATTGTAGTTAATGTTAATGGCTCAACGTGATATATAATGTGGGTTGTGGGGTACAACCGAAAACCACTTTCAACTTGTAGAGTACTAGTCACGAATATTCCTACGGAACTTCAAAATGCCACAGAGCAAGGCCGAGCATTGTGCCCCAAATGAAGTTATTGTGAAAATACATCACACGTGAATCTAGGAAAATAACGGAGACAACTTTCTTTCAGGATTTAAAAAAAATATTACAGTTTTCTGAAGTTTGACATGTTTCTCCAGCATGTTTGTTTCCATCAGTTGGAACCATTCCCTGTTCTGATTTCCTTCCCACATTTTCAGAAACATTAGTTGGTGATCCAGCAACAGTGTGATCTGTACAATCCTCTTCAGGCTTCTTTACCGACTCATGTGGATCACAATTGACGTATTCAGATAGTTCTACAGGGAACGTTCTTGATTGCTCAGCACTTCCATCATCGCCTTGGCTCGACTGAAAGTCATCCACTACCAAATCTGGCCTCGAATCAACTTCTATCAGTCTCTCCTCCTTATAATCAATTACTTGATCTTCTTGATCTGGTGTTGCGGGTGTAGGGGTTAGAGGTTCTGCAGAGCTATCAACAAACCCATCAGGTAAAGAATCTGCTTCAGGCAGTTGATTTGCTGCAGGGTTCTCCATTTCGCCTACAATTTCAGAAGGTTAATCTCAGCTGATAGATCTCACCTAAACTCATAGTCACAACCTTCTCATGGCACCCATCAACAACATACGTAGTCCGTCAAATCAAACAAACATTGCAATTCCGACAATCTCAAATCAAAAGTTATACGTCCGGATTAACTTATGATACAAACAAATAAAACTCTTCATTTTCCTCAACAAGTTCCCAAAAGAACATATATACAGTTAACGGCGTCATTTTTAACCACAAATCACAAATTAAAAAAATATATAGAGAGAGTTATGTATCCATGCTCATGAACATAATCAGATTTTCCATTTTGCCAAACAAACGGTACATAAAATCCTCAAAATACCAGCATATTCATGATATGATTGGCATCATACAAGAATAAAATTAAAGAAAAGAGAGAGAGATATGGCAAAGTGCAACCTTAGGGTTGTGAGAGAAGAAATGTTTAATTGAAACAAAAACCTAATTAGTTTGGAAAAAAGCGAGTATGAAGGAAGCCATAAACCTAATGAAAAATAGGAAGGAGGGAGGGAGGGAGGGAGGCATGTGTTGTGTGAATTTCAAAGGGTTTTTACGTACCCAAAAAAGCGATTGAGAATGAATAGCAGCTCTCTCTGGTATTCCCTTCCCTTTTAGACAGTCGATAGATTTGGGAAGCCACGAGTGTGTGCCTCTGTGTATATATCACAAAACATCATAAACAAAAAGACGACCTAACCGTAGTTTCAACGAATCAAGGGTGAAACAGGCATTCACAATGTATGTATCTATTCTATATATATATATATATATATATATATATATATATATATATATATATATATATATATATATAGGGGCCTATTCAAGGGAGAACTGAGTTGTTTGTGGTAACTGT